TTATTAATTAAATACCTTATTTTTAATTTTACAAAGAAAACATTCCAATTTACGCTACATTAAGTTCTACAAATTAATTTTATTTTTATTAAGTTCAATTTATTATTAATTAGTAATCGAAATTAGAATAAACTAAAACATATTAATTAGTACTGCAGTCTTATGTCTGTTTGGGATTTTTTGTCAGAGGAAATATAGGATCCCAAACTGGTGGTACGGAGAAACCATCTTCCCTGTTGAAATTAGGATGTTTTTTAATTTCAATGGCCTATTGCAGCATCCTGGGTAGATAACGGACTTCTTTTGCAAGGACCTGGGTTTTGTCAAACTTCACTGAATGTGTAGGTACACAAATATACACGATTTAAATCTGGAAAAATAGTTTCATTTCCTATAAAAATCTAAAGTTTCATTCGACTTGTGGCAGAATCTACACTCTATTTTCTCTCAGCCCAATATTTGACATGTGCTTGTTCAAGCAAATGACAGGGCTCTAGTCAACTCCAAATATCATATTAAACAATATATAATAAACAATCACAAACCTGATGAAAAACAGGGAAGTGTGTAGCATCAATTTCATCCCTTCTATAAACATCTCCAATCATCAGAAAGTTGTCCAAACCAGCACGAAGCAGATCGCCCTGGTGCGCCGTCATATGGGCTCGTAACAATACATCTTTATTTATATAGTAGCAATCAGATTTTGATCTGCTAATATGGTCTTTTGGTATCAATAAATCATCGAAGTTTTGCTTCGTTGTAACTATAGGAGACAGGTTCTCGTAAACACTGAATGATGGGTTACCTCTACTTGTAAATGATTTATAAAAATAATTAACGATGCTTTTCCGAACTAGCGATATGGGGTTATCCTTTCGTAAATGCAAATTTTGATTCAAATACGATATTATCTTCGGTGTTATGTTAGTGTACTCGTCGGTTTCGAATTCTTTGTTGTTTATAAGCATAGTGGATACCGATTTCGGTGCTGTACTATAGTTACAACGGAATAAAATTGTCGATAACATTCGACTGGATTTCAATATTATTGTCATTGTTTTTTATCTAATTAGTATTCCGCTGCAAAAATGACTAGTTTTTACTACTTTCGCCCTAATGCGAATTTTGAGTAGATAACTACAGTTTTAAATTTATTTCTGTACAAATTTTCACAACATAACCTCCGTTTTCTTTTTTGACAATTGTGATTTACGTTACCAATTAGAAAGATAACACAGATCTTATCCATCCTCTAAGACACAGATACACGTAATAATAAAAAAATAAAAAAGTTTCAGTGTGATTGAAAATTAATTATTACTAATTCATCTTAGATCATTCCTTTGTTTTTTTTTCCATCCTCTAAGCTATTCGTGGAAAATAACTACAAAAACCTGCCATTTTTTTAAAATTCACTTAATTAAAAAAAATTATATGAAATACTTTAATTCGATTCGATTTTCAAAAACCTTAAGTAAAAATTAGCCGTGTATTTGAGCGTATTTTTTTTTTTTAATTTAATTAAGGCTTTGGCAAAGCCATCAGCCTAAACATGAAGTTTAATTATGTTTCTGTAAATATGGCCGCCACAAAGAGGATAGGCAATTTGTGGCGGCGTGTTTGGATTGGCTCGGGATTCCTTAAAATGGGCCGATATGGGTATTTTAGTTCGAGATTCGTATAATTTCGCGTTTTAATCTTCGATTAAGGCACAATAGCACTGTCCTATTCCACTTTAAACTAGATTTTACAAAATAATTGAAAGTCAAAATAAAAACGACACTTTTCCCTCCAAAAGGTCCAGAGCGAATCCTTGAGCGTATTAATTTCGATATTTTCCGTTTTACGCATAACTCATTGTAATGGTTTTGTAATTGTAATGCATTGTAACATGCATACCCTCTCAATGTTAACGATGTTTGATATGAAGCATAGAATAATGTTACTCATACGAAGCCAAGAGAAATGAAATATGCTTAATTTGTTACTTTAGAAATTAAAAGCAGTTTATTTGCCGTAAAAATTAACAGTGTTTATTACACTGGTGTTCTATTTTGTAACGTAAATACTGACTGGAAATTGTGAAATTGTTCAGCTGTCAAATATAACGTTATCAATTAACAATAAAACACAGATTCGCTCTGGACCTTTTGGTGGGAATAGTGTCGTTTTTATTTTGACTTTCAATTATTTTGTGAAATCTAGTTTAAAGTGGAATATGATAGTGCTATTGTACCTTAATCGAAGATTAAAACGCGAAATTATGCGAATCTCGAACTAAAATATCCGTATCGGCCCGTTTTAAGGAATCCCGAGTCAATCCAAACTCGCCGCCGCCTCAAATTGCCTATCCTCTTTGTGGCGGGCATATTTACAGAAACATAATTAAACTTCATGTTTAGGCTGATGGCTTTGCCAAAGCCTTAATAAATTAAAAAGAAAAAAAAAACAATAACACACACATCTGCACACATCACATTTTGAACACAAGGATACCAAAGGATACTACTTTCTTTCTATTGATAAGATAACGTAATTATTTTACAATTAATGACAGAAAAACGTTAATTCTGTGAGAAATTAGTCTACATTAAACTAAAATGCTTCGTAAGCGTCTGTTCCATTTGTCGCAGTTAGCCGCTGTAGGTTTTACGGGTTATTTTGTAGGACAATATAAGGACAGGTTATGTAGTGGTGAAGACAAAATTTTTCTCGACGGTAGAGCTTTGAAGAATTTGCCTGGACTGCCTATATTTGGCACAGTATCTGCAGCTACGGCATTTGTTGAGGGTGGTAGTAATAGAGATAGGGTAAGTGTGATAACAAACTTTTCTAGTTGGTTGTGGACGCTTAATTCTTAATAAAAAATTAAGCTTTTTATTGATGTGGAGTATAGTGCCATAGGTCTTATTTTACAGCTACAGATACTTAGCTAGTAAACATAAAAAATGTTAAAAATGTACCTAGGCCCACTTTACCTGATGTATAATTTTTTTTTTTAACCAATTGTGTCTCAAATTGTGGGTACAGGTCTGGCCCTAAAATCCTCCACTATTAAGGAATAGTGGAGGATTTTAGTCTGTGACAAATTCGCATTCCTTCGCAAAGATTGTCTCGCTCTTGTAATAAACATAAAATATTGCCTCAAGGCACTCAAGGAGTGACGACATTCGCCTACTTCTTGGGTTGCATCTGGCTTAGGTGTCCCGCCCAATTCCATTTGAGCCTGGCTGTTTTGCTCCCCATATCAGCAATGCCAGACATCAAATGCAGCATTGTTGTTGTTGCATGAATGATGATGTATTAAATAAACATAAAGTATTTTTTAATTTCAGAGCTCACAAATAATGAAATATGGTTTTCCAAGCTTAGAAAACATCCGTTCATTTGACGACTATGTATTATCATATGATCGACGTAACAGAGTACCAAATTGGGTGTTTGAACATTTAACAAAATCGCACATTGCTCCTAATGATCAGATTGACAGAAGCAAGTGTGAGTTTATGCCTGATGAAAGTATACATCCATTTTTTAGGTAATTTGATCAATTTATATATTGAGTTCTTAAGTTCAAAGAACAACTTTTACAGATTACAGTTTCTTACTCGATCTTGTCTTTTTATACTGCTTCCGTGGCAGAACGGTTACCATGCTGTACTGCCACGCAGAGGTCTTGGGTTCGATTCCCAGGTCAGGAGAAATATGTGTATGACCTACATTTATTTGTCTCATGAGTTTGGGTGTGATTTGTGGTTGTCTATTTGTGGTCCATGGCACCCGCGACACAGGTTTTCCCTAGTGCAGGGCTATGAGTGTGTTGCGTTACTGTAAGTAATAATAATATAACTTTTTATAACTTTATTATAATAATATCAAGAGGCGGGATGAACAAGTTGTGTTGCCTGATGGTAACCTATATGCCTGTCCATAACAATAGCTGTGCCAGTCAGAGCTTTAAATCGCAAAGATCTGACGGGCACTACCACTGCACCTGTCACCCTGAGACATTAGTTGATAAATCCCATGTGCCTGCATTTCACCAGCACCCTTACCTTTCAAAACTAGAACACAGTAATGATAACATTACTGCTTGGTGGTAGAAATAGGTAAGGTGGCAGTACTTCCCTGAACAAACTCTTTCACAAGGAGCTCTACTGCTACCTATTCTACCTAATCTTGTCAGATCAGTGCTGTAGTTCAATGTGATTTGGAATGAAAAGAAAGCTCTGGCTCTCTTCTTTCTCAGTTATTACACAACAGATTGCTGCTAAACCTGTAAGTTATAGGGGACTGTAAGCATGCTTGATCTTTGTTCATGATGATATGTGGGGTTGAATCCATAAGAGAAGATATGCTGTGGCTGTTACTGAGTTAGATTCAGCATGTGCCAATATACCTGGATGTCTTCACAAATGTCAAAACTGATCGTTACTGGAAGTGCAATGCTAATTAAGTGTTATTTGGTCTTTTAGATCACAGAACAGTGACTATAAAGGTTCAGGTTTCGACAGGGGTCACATGGCGGCGGCCGGCAACCACCGTATTGCACAAAAACATGTGGAACAGACTTTCTATCTCACGAATATGGCGCCACAGGTAACAATTTTATTTAAAAAAATTTATACCTTATGAATTAATGAAATAGGTGACTGAAGGTTGATTTTCATGCACACAAATTATTTTCATTATTTAATTAAAAAAACATTAGAGATTCGAAAAACGCGCTACTTTAAGCAGCGATGCAAACACGTACTCAACCCATTTATAAGTTCCACTGCTGGGCCATGGGTCTCCTCCCAGGTGAAGGTTTAGTTCACCAAGTTCACTCGTCTTTCGAGGGCCGTGAACCTTTCTGGACGTGCAGGTTTCATCACGATGTTTTCATTCACTGAAAACATGGTATAAAATAGGTGCAAATATGTTGATATTAGAGTGTCAACCGTTCAATCACTGCCAATGTTAGTTATTTACTAAATATTTATTTATTTATTTATTTATGGCCTTTATTTCCGATAACTTACTAACTTATCTAAAACGTTGTATGAAATGCGTACTTATTATAATTTACTTATTTATTATTACTTGATTTGTTTACTTGGTACCTTCAGCTTGTCCTATACATAGGCCTCTTCCAGAGATTTCTATTTCTCTCTATCTTTTACTGTTTGCCTCCATGCTCGTCTAGCAACATATTTAAAATCGTCTTCCCATCTAAAGTATGGTCTCTCTTTTTTCCTTTTTCCCTATCTTGGGTACCATTCCACAATATCCCTTGTCCATTTATCAATTTTTTCTCTCATCATGTGTCCTGTTCAATGCCATTTTTTGCTGTTTTATTATGTGTGTGACTTTTTTAGTCTTTGATTTGCTTTTAATTGTGGTCAGTTTTACTTTAACTTTCAATTTTATGTTGAGCACACTTCTATCTATACTATTCTGACAAACATCAAGTTTTTTATATTGTTTTTTAGTAAGTGACCATGTCTGGCACCTGGTATGTGGTCGGTCACTGGTACAATGCACATATTTATTACTTTGAATTTGTATTTTGTATCAAATTCTTTTGATTTCATGACTAAATATATATTACTATAAATAATTACTTTCAGGTGGGACAAGGTTTTAACAGGAACGCATGGAATAGGCTAGAGAAGCACGTTCGCAAGTTGACCAATGTTTATGACAATGTATACTGCTGTACTGGACCTCTCTATTTGCCCAAGTGAGAAAATCTTTTTTAGATTCAGATTCATTTATTTCCTAAATATAATATTACAGTATAAATTGCATTACACGTCAAAGTATATTGAATTGAGATTGTCAAATAAAAATGAAAATTATAAGAAAAATAATTAAAAAATTAACAATTCATTAACAATAATATTGTTCATTTATCAAATATCATTCTCAATCAAGGATCGTCATAAGTTGATAACAAATATACAAAACAATATCAATGCCATAAAAATTAAAATAGAATAGAAAATACTCAATAGCTTTACATTTTTAGGTCCATAAATTCATTTACATGTACAAAGGATTTTTCTAAGAAAAGGTTTTTCAGGTCTAAATACCCTATTGCGCTTTCTTGCATCGCGATTTGTTTGGTGAAATCACAGGCACGTGGGACTTGTCAACTTGCCCCTCAGATCTAAGTAATTTATAGCTCTGAGTGACACTGCAACTGTTATGGACAGGCTTGTAGCTTACCATCAGACGCACGACTTGTTCGTCCCGTCACTGATGTTATAAAAAAAAAGATTAGCCATCTGCTTGAACTATTGGTTCATGTTAATTAAAATTTAATAAGCTAACAATACGAGTGTTAACTTCCGTAAAATTCCCCGAATAATCGCGAAGTTTGAATTTCAGAAAATAGAATCTATTCCAATTGTTGATTCTCCGATTAAATTTCAGGAAAGAATCAGACGGTAAATCATACGTTAAGTACCAAGTAATAGGAGCGAATACAGTGGCGGTGCCCACGCATTTTTACAAAGTGGTGGTGGGAGAGTCTGCAAACGGCACGCTCGCCATGGAAGCCTACGTCATGCCCAATCAGAAGATTCCTGACGAAACACCTGTGTCGGCTTTTATGGTACGTTGTCATAGTGAGTCCAGCAATTGCCTGGGGGCCTATTATAAGATGAGGAACCAGACAGGTCGCATGAATTGTTTACATGGGAAAATTGAATTGTTTAAATTCGTATCATGACCTATAATCGAATCATAATTAGTTTCCAAAATGTAAACAAAGGGTATAACCGAGCAAAAAATACATTTGAAATGGAATGAAAATTCATGCAGCTGAGACCTCGACTGCATGAAGTTGATAACTACTTCACGCATTAACTGCATGCAGCTGATCTCGGCTGCATGAAGTCAGTTTCGGTTACATGCAGTCAATGCGTGAAGTCATTATCCGAGACCACGACTGTATGAGGTTGATAACAACTTCACGCTTTAACTGCATGCAGCCGATCTCGGCTACATGAAGTAGGTTTCGACTACATGCAGTTAATGCGTGAAGTCGTTATCATCTTCATGCAGTTGAGATCTCAGATGCCTGAAGTTGATTATGACATCATGCATTAACTGCAACCAAGCAGTCAATCTGTTAGCAGCCTTAGGACTATAACTAAAGAGTGCGACAGAGCTATTATACAATGATCATACGAAAAATAGCCTTCAAAAATTATAAACTGATGGTGTTCGACTAGGGAAACATTATGATTTCTAAAATAATTTTATAATTGGTTATATAAAATGTATATTAACTTTTCAATCATACTTTACAATTTTCGTAAAGCAAAATTACACTATTTTAACGCACACTTTGTGATGAGTTTGGAATTTAATAGTAGAACTCGAACGCATTTCTCATGTTCTTAATTTTTTTTCAATATTGCGCTAAACTAAAATGTGGCGCTATTTAACAGTAAGCTTACAATTTACATTAAATCAATAAAATTGGAGAAGATAAGAAATAAACTAAAAACGAAAATTTTTCCAAATGCAACGTAAACCCGCCATTTATTTTTTATTCCGCAGTTTATAGACAATTAACATTTTTATGTTATAATTTCAGGTACCTCCTGAGTCAATAGAGCGTGCTGCAGGACTTCTTTTTTTCGACAGAATCCATAGAAGCAAATTAAATTGTATTAATGGAAAAAAAGTATAGATATAAATATTAGTTCAATTTTAATACTTTAGAAGAGTCTGACAATGTGCAATAATATATATAAGGCACTTTTCGTATTTATAAATCTTTAATATCAACCAAACATTGTTGTTATTACTTAGGTTTTAAATTGTCTTGCCCCCGGTGTCAACTTTAATCGGTTTTTAAACAACCAGTCGTTACGTTCACGTTATTTATATGGATAGATTGCAACAATTGGATAGTCAAATAATTAAAGAATAATATATTAACCTTTAACGTAAAGATTGGTAGCTCAGTAATTTTTGTTGGTAATTACTAAATTAAAGTAAAGTTTTAAAGGGGGCGTTGATGCTGTGCAGGAGGTGCTATCGCATTTGAAAAAAATCTGAGTTATCTATATAAACTACACTACATATATTTTTTTCCCTTGTTTTTTGTGCTAAGTTAATATAAAAAATACGTGTTTTCAATTTGTGGGGCGCTGGGCGTTGAAATATTTTTATCTTGCTTAAATGGGCGGTAAGCCCAAAAGTTTAGGAACCTATGATCTAGCTCAAAAGGGCAAAGAACTAATAGATGTAAAAACCATTAAATAAAAAGTTATCTTTAATATTTGGACTGAATGACTCGAATTCAAGGTCGTAAAATGAACAAAAAACCATCATCTAGAAGACAAGTAATAAATTATTATTATTACTTGTCTACTAGACAGCATATTAATGCTC